GAGAGAGAGAGAGAGAGAGAGAGAGAGAGAGAGAGAGAGAGAGAGAGAGCACCCGACCATGACAACGCTGACAGATGAAGATGACGAGGAAGATGCAAGATAAGGAGAATGAGCATGATTTACGAGGACAAGGTTAGATACTAATGACATCAATCACATGTTGCAGCCACGTGGCTGGAAACTTGAGCTGCTTCACGCGGGGAGGGTTTTGGGGGGGAGGGGCGTCACATGTTGCAGCCACGTGGCTGGATCGTTTATCCATTTTCATTATTTTCCCTTTTTTTTTGGTGAGTGTGCGTCTCTGTGTGTGCGTCTCTGTGTGTGGGTGTCTGTGTATGTGTGTATGTGTGTGTGTGTATGTGTGTGTGTGTATGTGTGTGTGTGTGTGTGTGTATGTGTGTGTGTATGTGTGTGTGTGTGTGTATGTGTGTGTGTGTATGTGTGTGTCCATGCTCATCGGCAAATTTCTGATATGCCCTGGTAGCATCTCTCCCGGGGCCAGGGAAAAGACTGCGAGTGTCAACAACGGCCCCAGGGGCTCGCTGGAAAGATGTGGCAGTACCAATAAGGGCATATGGGAAACTTTTGTGCTGGTTCTCAACGGCCATCTGGTAGGGGCATACTGAAAATTTGGTACTGGTACCGGTAGGGGTATATGAAACATTTTCAGGCCCAAACGACGCCAGGGGTTTTCTGGAAACATCATTTGTCATCAGAGGGGCGCGACAAGGTAAGTCAGCCGTCAGAGGGGCACGCCGCAAATAAACGAAAACTTCAGGGGCATTTCGAAAATTTACCCTTTTTTTTTCCCTCTTTTTTTTTGCCTTGTCCTTTTTTCTATGGTAAAGCTGATTTAACTGTCAGACTGTGTCTGGTTGCCCTGCTTGGACATTAGCTGGACCTGGCATGCGGTGTTTGCATCATTCAGACGTTACTCTGCTGTGCAGCTGGATGGATTTTTTTCAGGGCTCTGCCATCCACTACTTCAGACAGAGCCCTGACAATGGTTAACCCCACTGTATCTCTGGTCGGTGGGGCGAACACGTCGGATTGTCCGCGGTTCTATCTGTAGATTCAAGAACAGTAACTGTTTTTTTCTTGAAGTAAGGGCCTCGCCACACCACTGTCCAAACGAGAGAATAGTAACAGATGCATCTGATCACTTTCTGGGGAAGATACACTCTTACTTTTCTCTTTTCGACAGTGGTGTGGCGAGGCCCTGACACTGTAATGGCCCCGGCATTCAGTGTTATTTTAAGGTGTATTAATTCATGAGGATGCAAGGGACGCTGGACCCGGTTTCCAGCAGCTGTAGCTCCCCCCCCCACCACAATAGACGGGAGCAACTGGCTGTAGGGGTACTACTAGTAGAGGGTGTTACTCGCATCACTCCCTCTTGTAGTATCACTCCCTGATTAGAAAACCATTTGAATAGCTTGGTGGTGCTAGAAGTGTCTGCTCGTATCAGCACTCCTAGCATCTGCTCGGGTTTTTTTTTTTTTTTTTTTTAAAGAAAAAAGAAAAGAAAAGAAAAGAAAAGAAAAGAAAAGAAAAGAAAAGAAAAGAAAACCATTGAATTTTTGTGAGGGATGCCAGGCCCGCTTCCTGACAATTTAAGGACATTCTTTAAAAAAAAAGGAAAAAAAAAGGGATATATTAAGCCGAGCTCGAGCAGATTAAGGCTGTCCTGCTCTGAGGATGGGTGACCTCTAGGGGGTAGCTTTCATTTACGTGGCGGAGAAGTGTCCACGTGGATGTCTCGGGACCATACCATTTAATTTATAATAATTAGGTGAAAAAAACGACATCAGGGTCACAACCTCAACAACCAACATCAATCACAAAAACAACAGAAGAAAGTACAACCACGAAAAATAAAATGAAAGCTACCCTCTAGGTGATTAGCGA